AAACACTCAGAATTACAGCATCACAATCACATCATTATTATTACACCATAGACACAAAGACAAACAAGCATACCATCATCTAAAGTGTTTCTAGCACCTAAAAACAAACAAACCAAAAAAATGTGAAACTTGACAGACAGGAGATTCCTGATTTCGCACGGGTTTTGTGTTTAGACGTTCGCAGTCTTTGTAATAAAACTATAAAATGTTGGCTGGAGAAAAGACCTTCGCAACATATTTTAATTTTAAACACGAAAACAATTTTTATCTGCTGTGTTTGAAACGTTGAAAACATGCCAGCTTTGGAGTGCAACAGGAAAGTGTTTATTCAGCTTCAGTGTCGAATGACTCTACACCAGTCGACACTTAGTATTTATTGGTGCTGACTGGTATTGATGGGAAAACAACACTCTTACATATGTTAGGTTTCTTTGAAGCTGTGAAAAATGCTGTGAGAATTAAAAATAACTTAAAAAAAACCTTCAGATTGACTACGGTTTGAGCCAGCTATCAAAGTGGTTATCTTAGAAAATTGTATTGGTCAATATTTGCATCTTTTTGTGAACATCACTGTCTCCAAACCATGTAATTCTATTTGTTACCAGTTTATACAAAAACAACAAGAAAACTACGAAACCAAATGGCAGTAACTTGGTAATCAGCGAATTTAGGATACGTCTAAACAGGGGTGTTACTAGGTTTTACTGACAAGGGGGGCTTAGCCCCCAGGAGATGCACAGAATTTTTGTATATTATATACTTGTATTGTGTGTGTGTATTATATATATGTATGTATATATATATATATATATATATATGTATGTATATAGGGGTGGCTTTAGCTTGGGAGCTAGTGGCATTAGCTACTGAGCAAATTTACTAAAAATCACGGTTGATTGTTTTAATCCATATTGTGCAACATACAAACTAATACAAATTATACATTTATTGTCACACTTTAAAGCATTTTAGGACTTGACTCTTTGTATTTTAGTCTCAACTGTAACCCATCATCACCATTGCTTCAGAAACAAAATGGCGATGTGCGACAGTGAAACATAACAAACATGGACATTTTTTTAGGTAATTAAATGTTTGCATTTGTCACAAACAACTTTTAATAGAATCGAGCAGTGGTTCACACGTTTCAGCTTTTGACCCTGAAAACAGCAGCAGAGACCTGAGGCCCATGTTGCATCATGAACATTGTGTTCACATCAAAAGAGCATAGTAACAATATTCTTATGCTTTTTTGTACATTTTAAGCACACTAACCTTACTTACAAGTCCAGAAAGCTCCTGAAGAAGATGGATGACACTGTCACTGAAGCGTCCAGCCTAGTTTTCTCATCCCTTGTCGTCTCTTTCATCTGGACCGTTCACTGTGACCCGACTCACAGTTCACATCTCCAAACCAAACAGAGCAGCGGGAGGAAAAGGTTGCCCACAAGCAAACTGATAATTCTGTGTGGAAAATCTCATTTCTGTGTCTTTGCACTTACTTTTTCTCTCCGTATTCCTCCCACTCAGCTGTACGTTAGGACAGGGAGGCCACAAACGCTCGGGCCTGCAGACCTCAGAGCTCGCTGAAAACTGTCAAAACTCGCCGTGCCTTGTAAAACCACACAGCATACAATATCAAACTCGGCCCGTAAAACAGAACTGTTGGTTTTTCCACAATGACGTCACGGCTTGCATCAACTACAGCCTCAAACGTCAGGTGTAGGGCAGCGCCAGGTGTGTTCAGTGGGTCAAACACAGGACAGCAACGGGTCAACAGGGACAGGGACTCGCACCGTCTAAAAACAACTAGAGGATCTGTCAAAGGCGTTAATGTAGGAGTCCAAAAGGAAGAGTGAACATAAGAGTTCAAAATCTTCATATTTATCATTAAACAATCAGTGAAACAGCTGAAGTTTTATGGGTTTGATTTGATTTGATTTATTGATTTAACAGGAAAAGATTATAAAAAATCAAGCCTGACTCAGCATAATTGCTGTTTTAC